ATACAGGCCCAGCTGCTTACTGTATAGAGAGATCATAAATGTTCAGTATTTGATCACATTAATGATTTACATACTACTGAAAATTTCTCTATATCATGTACATGGTAACAATGAGACTAATAACTTGCAATGAATGGAGAGCAAGTTAAGTGTAAAATGTAAATGAAACCATTAGACCTTTAACATTTCTGATGGTGTCATGACTATTTCTACTACTACATACATGCAATATCATGTAAATGTTATGTCATGCTGGGACCTTTTATTGATTATTTTACAGAATGGATGTTTGGGTCATTTTTGAAGGCTGTATGGTGGTCTTTAGTTGTTTTTAAAAATCCTTTGGTTGCTGGTGGAATATCTCATTGGCAATTAATATACATCCTTGTCTTTTGGTCTCTGGTAGAATATCTCATTGGTAACTACATCCTTGTCCTTTGGTCTCTGGTGGAATATCTCATTGGCAATTACATCATTGTCCTTTGGTCTCTGGTAGAATTTCTCATTGGCAATAACATCCTTGTCATTTGGTCTCCGGTGGAATATCTCATTGGCAATTACATCATTGTCCTTTGGTCTCTGGTGGAATATCTCATTGGCAATTACATTTTTGTCCTTTGGTCTCTGATGGAATATCTCATTGGCAATTACATCCTTGTCTTTTGGTCTCTGGTGGAATATCTCATTGGCAATTACATTCTTGTCCTTTGGTCTCTGATGGAATATCTCATTGGCAATTACATCATTGTCCTTTGGTCTCTGGTGGAATATCTAATTGGCAATTACATCATTGTCCTTTGGTTTCTGGTGGAATATCTCATTGGCAATTACATCCTTGTTTTTTGGTCTCTGGTGGAATATCTCATTGGCAATTACATTCTTGTCTTTTGGTCTCTGATGGAATATCTCATTGGCAATTACATCCTTGTCTTTTGGTCTCTGGTGGAATATCTCAGTGGCAATTACATTCTCGTCCTTTGGTCTCTGATGGAATATCTCATTGGCAATTACATCCTTGTCTTTTGGTCTCTGATGGAATATCTCATTGGCAATGACTATACATCCATGTCTTTTGGTTTCTGGTAGAATATCTTATTGGCAATTACAACCTTGTCCTTTGGTCTCTGGTGGAATATCTCATTGGCAATTACATCCTTATCTTTTGGTCTCTGGTGAAATATCTCATTGGCAATAACATCCTTGTCCTTTGGTCTCTGATGAAATATCTCATTGGCAATTACATCATTGTCCTTTGGTCTCTGATGGAATATCTCATTGGCAATTACATCCTTGTCTTTTGGTCTCTGATGGAATATCTCAATGACAATTACTAATTGTCCTTTGGTCTCTGATGGAATATCTCATTGACAATTACATCATTGTCTTTTGGTCTCTGGTGCAATATCTCATTGACAATTACACCCTTGTCATTTGGTCTCTGGTGGAATATATCATTGACAATTACATCCTTGTCTTTTGGTCTCTGGTAGAATTTCTCATTGGCAATAACATCCTTGTCATTTGGTCTCTGGTGGAATATCTCATTGGCAATTACATCCTTTCCTTTGGTCTCTGGTGGAATATCTCATTGGCAATTACATCCTTGTCATTTGGTCTCTGGTGGAATATCTCATTGACAATTCCACCATTGTCATTTGGTCTCTGGTAGAATATCTCATTGACAATTTCATCCTTGTCATTTGGTCTCTGATGGAATATCTCAATGACAATAACATCCTTGTCCTTTTGTCTCTGGTGGAATATCTCATTGGTAATTACATCCTTGTCTTTTGGTCTCTGGTGGAATATCTCATTGGCAATTACATCCTTATCTTTTGGTCTCTGGTGGAATATCTCATTGGTAATTACATCCTTGTCTTTTGGTCTCTGGTGGAATATCTCATTGGCAATTGCATCCTTGTCTTTTGGTCTCTGGTGGAAATTCTCATTGACAATTACATCCTTGTCTTTTGGTCTCTGGTGGAATATCTCATTGACAAGTACATTCTTGTCTTTTGGTCTCTGGTGGAACATCTCATTGGCAATTACATCCTTGTATTTTTGTCTCTGGTGGAATATCTCATTGGCGTTACAACCTTGTCCTTTGGTCTCTCGAGGAATATCTCATTGACAATTACATCCTTTATCCTTTGATCGCTGGTGGAATATCTCATTGGCAATTAAATCTTTGTCATTTGGTATTTGGTGGAATATGTCTCATTGGCTATGATTTTACATCTCCTTGTTTTTATAATGAAATTAAAATGGCCATTGGTTTAAATATTTTATAAGAAACTACATCTGGTATATTGTATCAGACACAAATTTCATTCTTTGCAGGGTTACAAAATGTTTCGTTTTTTGTTTAACTTTGCATTCATTGGAAAAGCCTGTGGTTTTTGCTTTATTTACATTAGTTTTACAAAGGCAAATATATATTTTTGTTCACAACAATATTTACAATAGCATACACTTTGCCAGAACTGCAGCAGAGGGAATTAATGTTGTAAAATGCAGCTTCAATAAATTACAAGTAGAAAAGTTTGGTGCTGATCTATGCATCATATGATGATGTAAAAAACATGCACAGGCAATTAAAACTAATGTGCAAATGAATAAAACATATTGATTCAAGTACTACATTACAACTAATGAAAGTCTGAATGAAAAGAATTTATTCATAAGAATATTTATATGTTACCTAAATGTAGCTAATGTGATTAGATGCTGGATATGAATGGAATATCTTGAATTCTTTAAATAATTGATGATTTTGTGGTTTATGAGAATTTAGTAAGAATAATATCTTTTTTTATATCAATGGTATATAAAGATCTGTGAGTGAAAGGCAGGATAAGATTTTTAGCTCACCAAGTGGCTCTTTTAGGGCTTATCATACCACTTAAAACCAACTTTTGGAGGGATATAGCAATCAACTTGTCTGTCTGTCTGTTCTTCCTTCCGTCCATACTGCTTTGGGTTCGCCAAATAACTTTTGTACCATTGAACTCAGGTTGATTAAACATGGTATGCAGATGCATCATGGGCTGGGGTGACACTAAAGTCAGGTCACTCTGACCTTGACTTTGACATTTGACCCCTAATTAAGTAAATCCTTGTCCAATTTGTGTCTGGCTCAATACTTTGGTACTTTAAAACTTAAGTTAACCAAACTTGGTATTCAGTATCATCATGGGCTGGGGTGTGTCTGTAAACCAAACGTCAGGTCACTCTGACCTCTGACTTACATGATAGTGAAACCTTGTGTAAAAATGATTTGTGTCTTGCATATAACTTTTGAACTATAGAACTTAATAGTTATGTTTACCAAACTTGGTATGTTAATACATTATGGGATGAAGGTGTGTCTTATATCAAAGTCAGGTCACTCTGACCTTGATTTTGACCTGTAACCCTTATGATAGTAAAACATTGTTTGATTTGTGTTTGGTGCATAACTTTTGTACCGTAGCACTAAGATTGAAAAAACTGTATGCAGAAACATCATACTGACCTTGATTTCCACCTTTATGATAGTAAAACACTGTCTGATTTGTGAACATTGCAATACTTTTATGCTATAGCACTTAGTTGACAATTGTATTCAGAAGCATCATGGGATCAGATCTATCAAATACCAGAATCAGGTCATTTTGATATTGACCTTGACCCTTGACCACTATGATAGTTATTTGTGTTTGGGGCATATTACTGTTCTCTGGATAACTTATGGTAACTAAACTAAGCCAAACTAAGTCTGCAGATGCATTATGGGAAGGTGATTTGTCAGTAAGGTTAGATGATTAGATCTTTGAAGCTTTGACTGTTGACCCCAAAAATGTTGATTGACCTTTAACATTGAATGATCAAAAAGCCAAATATCTCAAAGTGTCCTTACTTAAATACTTAATTTCACAGCAGCAATTTAAAAATGCATTTACAGGTGGTATTATATTAGTCTTACTATGTGGACAGTCATTAAATATTTGCCACTAAGTTGGCTAAGCAACCAACAGTCAACCAATCAAATAATCATATCAGCTCAGTCTTAATTGACCAACAAAACACAGATAATAAACATATTACAGATTGTGATTAAATATATATAAAAAAGGATTTTAGATTTAATTACTCTAAACAACTTTAACCGCAACAAAATTGTTCATGTGCTTGTCTACAGTCAGGAAGCTTGTCATTTGTCCTGACTCCTTTAGGGAATTTGGTGTTGATGGCAGAACTTTGATTTTAGCTGTTAAAAAACTTTGAATTTTTGTAGACATATGGGTCGATTTAGAGCTTTACCTTTTGTATAGATATTTGTCTATTGTGGAAGACAGTAATTTTGACCCCTATATATCTTTGGGTCATTTTTGTGTTTTTGGAATGCTGTCTCATATTTTATTACAGTTTAGTTCCTTTTATTCATATATAATATAAATATGCATAGAGGTGGCCATGTAAAGTTGTCAATTATCAATCAATTTACTGTTGTCATTTGTCATAGAACATCATATAGGTGACAAATGTAGATAGTTCTATTAAATGTCAGTATATATATTTGTTTAGTATGCTAATATGACACCAGATGTTTTGGTTGATTCTTTACCCTGTATAATCAATTATAATTGGTTTGTGATTTAATAATTTTTTTGTATATTTATATTCAATTTGTATATATCAATATTGTGTCATCTTGTATTAAATTAAAATTTGAAAAGCAAAGAATGTCCAATTATTCAGCCATATAGAAAATCAAATTTGTGTTACAGTATCCAATCACCAATAAGTTGGCATTATTTTTCCAACCCCTTTGAATCTTTTAAATACTTGTATGTTAAATAAAACTTAATGAATAAAAGAAATTTTGTTAGGTGGTTCTTCCTAACATTTATTCCAAAGATATTAGTACAGTCAGCAAAATAAAACCTAATCATTCATTCGTGATATTTTTCTCTGTAAAAGGGAGATAACTCAAACTCATTAATTTTTTTGTCTTGCAGGCTGTGACAAGAAAGAAATTCCAATACCCAGATGATTTTAGGAAATCCTTAGAGAATGGGGTACTGTTGTGTGAGTAAGTGTCACTTATATACTTTAGAAAATAAGGTATATATTTTTGGTAGGTAAAAGAAGTTCCAACATACAGAATTTTGGCCAGTATTTGTGGGTAGTTGTCATGATTTCTCTGCTTTTACTGATAAGTCTAAAAATACTTCATAGTTCATAAAAGTTAGTGTAAGAGACTGACTAAAATCTTCACTGTACTTTGAAGTCCTCAGTATCCAGTATGTTTGTTAAAATAGGTGGCATATCATATGGTCTTCCCTGAGCATAGTGTTATTTATCTACATTTGATCAAAGTTTGACTGCATAATTTTGCTACCTGTTTCTGAGATTTCAATGATCAAAACTATGAGGTTGTTTTTGCTGTGGCACAATTTTAATAAATTCCGGTCAGGCAAATGGCTAGTGCAAATAAAATTTCGGCCAGGGAATCCTGCGAAAAAATAAAATTCAGGAGTGAATGGTTCCAATACAACTGCACATGTCAGAATTACAGAAGATTACATGAATTTAGGGAATCAGTTCTATTAATGAACATTAGACCCAGATGGAGCTAAAAAAATATATATTTATAATCAATGCTTCAGTTATATTTTAATTCTCTTTGCAAACTTTGAAAAGGTATATAAATATACATGTTGTATATTTTGGGAAAATATGTTTCATATATATACATATATATGTACAATGAAGTCTAAATTGAAAACAACGTTCAAACCTATGATTGCGTTGGATAAAAACTGCAATTTTTATACGTGTGTATGCAAAACAAATTTCTTGATAGAGGGGTCTAATTACAGCACAAACAACATTCTCCAAAAGACCAAAAAAGTGAAAAAGTATATTTTAACAAAACGCATTTGACTAACAGGTCGAACAACAGATGTTCTTAAACCCTGCTGACTGCCATTGGCGATTGCCAAATAAACATATCACAAGATGTTACAAAATGGATCTTTTAAAAGTATAAATTTAATACCAAACAGAAAACAATAATTTTGCGGAAAAGATGGTATACCGCTAACAAAAGGTGCAAAAATTAGTACTTATAGTCCTCATAATCTGACCTATATGAAAGTGATATCAAACATGACTTTATAATAATATTCTGTAATGGTATCATTATTCTCAAATGTCAAATACTGCCTTCTAAAGAAATACAAAAGTATGATTCATTGACATAAACTGATAAGATGCAATGGACAATTTTGAATGGGTATGTCATGGATGACTGCACATACTACACAATACAGTTGCTGTCTCATATGTGTATTATAACCCTTAATCTCATGTTATACATAATAAGGTAATAACATAATACAGGCTATCATTTTATGTCAATGGAAATGTTTATATAGTAGTCATACTTACAGCCACATGCCTATAATATGCAAATTACCAAATAGCATGTGAGAGGTTCAAACTTTAAGGTGTAATTCATATTGTGAGAAACAGAATTATATTTTTTGAAAAAACATTTATAAATTATGAGCATTGCTTGTTTACTTGAAGGTTGTTGAACAATTTAAAGACAGGGTCAGTTAAAAGGATCAACAAGCTGCCCACACCATTGGCTGGATTGGTAAGTTTTGTCATAGCATACACAAGATATCACCTTAAAAACTTACAACTCACAACTCCTGTTAGTACTGTGTGTTGGATATGGCTCACAGTTGCTGTAGCATTTTGTTTTTACACAGACAGGCTGTTGGACTGCCTCTCAATCTTAAAGTTTGAGAGCAATAGAATTCTGTTATCAGGATTTCTACCACCTTTGATTCTATATAAGATTTTTCTTTTCCACAATGTATTATATCTACTGACTGACAACCTTCATCGTGCCATCTTTTACACCAAAGGTATCTTTCACCTCTCTTTGATAAGTGCCTGGGCATGTCCAGACAAAATTACGCCTACCGGTACACTCTTCATCTCTAGGTTTCTTGCTACTCCTAGATCTTCTACCAATTTGCCTATGCTGCTGGACCTTTGTTATTAATGTCTGCTGTCATGAACAGGCATTGTAGAAGTCTTGATAATGCAGAGGCTATGTACTGGCAGGAAATACTTAGGCCCTTGGCTTCCTTTTCACCTACAAAGAAAGATAGCTGCTGAAGTGGAAGAGTCTTTGACTTCCCACCACACTAGTCACATAAAAAACCCAAATGTAGAAAATACCTTTACCAGATGGTCATTTGTTAAAACATTGTGCATCTCAACATCTCTCAATCTGATTAAAAACATCACACAAAGACCAATAGTTCAAGTTAACCATATACTTGGGCATGTGTGATAAACTGCTCTGGACAATATTCTTAAATATTAGTACAATAACCCTTTTAAAATGTAATACCAAATATTTCAGTAACCTTCATGACACATCTTTCAATTCTTGCAGATTTGATGGCAATAAGGACGTAATGTTAATTTTTGCCATCTTAGTTTATTTCTCATTTGCCTTTATTTTATATGTTCATAGTACACCAGTAACAATATCATTTAAGATTTTAGGTATATTTATAACATTGCTAAGATTCTTAGATTTTGATATTCTCTGTGACTGTTGTCACAAAAATTCTTTCAAGAAAAAAAACCTCAAAACTCATGAACAATTCGTTATAACTTTTCATCAATTTTAATTAAAATATTTTTTGTGAAACAAGCTGTTACAAAATATATACCTACATTATTTTGAGCAATAGGTTTATAAGATATTGTAAGATATTGGGTAATATTGAGTTGTTTCCCTTTGAACATATTATGGAACCAGTGTCTCCAATAAGAATAAGATAAAAATTTTATTGATCTAATCAAGAACCCATAAAGGGCATCATTTTACAACAATATTATGCAAGATATGATTGGAAAAAAAAACCAACAACCTAATATAATACTATCATGTTATGGACAGGATCAGAGCCTAACACATTCATGTCTCCAATATGAAAAGAATGCATTTAAGTGCAAAATGTTGGCCCCATTGGGGACAATGCTATTTTTAGGAAATACTTTCTTGAATGGCTCTTTAGATAAATTATTTATTGAATGACTGCTGTTGTTTAATAGGAGTGCAATATCTATTTAAGATTTTAACACACTTAAAAAATATAAAATCCAATAGCTTTTCTTGGTGATTTTTGTGGGTTTTTCTTTACTATACCTTGCAATTATGAAGAAATTTCCCAAAATTTTAATCAAAATAACAAAGTCTCCAAAATATACTTTGTGGACAAAGTTGTGCTTGTGGGAAACTTTATTCATAATGCTTTCCAGGAGAAAAATATGCAAATGACATCACTTCCAATCAACCATAGCCAGCTATTTGTTTTTTCTCTGACATGTTCTTTTCACGAATGGGTGTGCCCGTGTAACTTTATTTAGAACATTGTACTCTGTAACCATATATCCTCTTTTTTCCAATTTCCTAAAATCACTGCATTAAAATAATGTACCGGTACAAGTTTTCCAAATAATTACTTACTCGATAGTTTAAAAAACAACAAGAATTTAGGATAAAGACTGTGTCACTGACCATGCAGATAAAAATTCTCTTGATTGAAATTACATCACAAATGTTTCATTTCAGCCCAGCTCAAGAATGTTGTATAAATTATTGTTAAAATGAGATTGATTGCTTCTGTCTATAATATATTCTAATGTTACATTTTTGTTACTGCTTGTTTAACATATAAAGTGTATTGCACTATTAGTTTGATGACCTTAGGTTTACAATAGATTTCATGTTAAAGCAATTGAAGATTTTTTTTCAACAAAAAAAATGGAGTTATCTCCCGTAAACCATTCAAATTATTTATGTTGTTTGGAACATAAACAAAATTGGTAATGAGACTTGAATTATGAGGGTTTTGATGATTTTTTTTATCATTACATAATTTCAAGACCAGGCAAGATGCATATATTTAGATGACGGATTTAAACTTTTTCTCAACAATTTTATTATTATGTACCATACAAGAAATATCGTCTGAAAATCATGTACCATTTCAAGTGAAACTAATATTACTGCATATAGGGTAGAATGTAAGTTTAATACCCACTGTAGAGATGCACATGATATGTGTGTGTGTTTGATGGAAAGAACAAGACAGATACGATATATAAATTCTTACTGAATTATGACGGAAAATATGAATGATCATTTCTTTTTATAATGAATACAAATGGGTCATTATAGTTATAAAACATATGCATATAGTGTAATGACGCAAGAGGCACATCAATTTTAGGTAGAAAATGCTAGTCATAGCTAGGGGCCTATATTTTTCGATTTTTTTTTCCTTCTGTGAACTTAAGTAATTGAAACAGCAACCTAGTGACACAAATAACCAAGAACCATCAAGAGATCTACATACAGTCTTGACGTCAGACTGTTGTTAGTACAAAAATGTCAAGCGTTAACTCACCCAGAGTAAAACTAAATTTCAAGTGCTTCTAGAATGAAAACCAGCAACAGTCTTGCATCCAAACCCTACAGAGTGACAAATTTATTTGAAAATTTTGTGTTTCCTAAGTGGTGTTGGTGATAAGCTGATTTTCCATCCAACATCATTTTGATGCAAATTCTTGGGCATAGTTGTAGGACTGAGCAAAGGATATCTATGTGCCAACTTGATTTTCATTGAATTTTATAATTATTTCAGTTTTCTTTAACACTGATGAAAGGGAGGCTATCAGGATACCTGAAAATCAAAAGTTTATAGGATAGTGACCTTAGAGTACTTACATTTGATCTTTGTTAAGTCAGAAAGAAGCTTAACATATATGCAAATATACTTTATATCTGAATAAAGTGAACTCATTTTGAACTTCTATTGACAGAAAATCTTTTTGATTTAAAGATAAAAGTAAACACCACACAAATGTAATTTTCTTCACAAGATGTTTTTTGACAGTTTATGAAACCATTTTATACTTTAAAAATCTGTCTTAATCAAACATTACCAACTTAACAAGTTAGCTTTTAATTTTCTTGTATGTATTTTAGAAATGTAATTAGAAATTCTCAAAAACAGTTAGAAGACTGAGAAAATTTATAAAAGATTTTAGTAGTCATTCTTTATTCTAGTGCTGTTTTGTTAACAAGTTCAGGGCAATTTAGAATAAAGCAGTATTATTAAATTACTCATTTTAAAATATCTCATTATCAACAAAGAGCATTTAAAATCTCTTAGAAATACTAAACTGTAACGGTATTCCATATGTCAAGATCTTTTACTCTCATGTGATATCTTGCAAAGTGCTGGCAATTATGGAAACAATTAAATTTTTTGATTGAACATAAAACTTACTGCCCTATTATACATTTAGTTATAGAAGAAATTAATTTTAATACTTAACTAATGTTCTGCAAGTTATCAATTCATTTTTCAAATTGTTACTAAAAGAAAATAGTAGCTATTGGAATCAAATTTGCTAAGAAACAAATAGAGACCATTTTAAGGTTGATTTGTATTATTTTATGTTTTTCAGATTTCAAAGAATGAACATTCATATTTCATAATTATATGTAGATATATGTGAGGATTTCAAACTTTATAATCCAGAGAATTTTTTGTTGAAAATTTCAATTTGAAATTGAATTTGCAACTATCATCTCTAAGCTATGTCTTCAGAATAGGGGTATAATTATTTAAGGTTTAATAACAATATCTTGGTACATCATGGATATTATTGAAACTTTACAATATGGCACACCCTTTTACAGGTTGATATGTACTTTGTATAAAAATAAGGAGATGTGGTATGATTGCCAAGTAGACAACTATCCACCAAAGTTCAAATGAAGTGGATGTAAGCACTTATAGGCAACCGTATACTGCGGCCTTCAACAATGAGAAAACCCATACCATATAGTCCGCTATAAAAGTCCTGACATGAAAAATATGAAACAATTGAGAAAACTAACAGCCTAATCTATAACAAGACAATTTACGAAAAACAAATATGGCCGACCACTGTACTACAGGCTCCTGACTTGGGACAGGCACATAAAGGTTGTGATAGGGTTAAACATGTTTGTGAGCGATCAACACTCCCCCTAACCCGGGACAGTGGTGTAACAGCACAACATAAGAACAAACTATTAGTTAGTTGAAAAAAGTTTAGTATATATCATTTTGGATGCATGTAAAATAATGCATGTATTAAGCATTATTATCATGTCTTGTCCCTATTCGATATAATAAGTAAAATATTTCAGAATACTTGGCCTCCATACAAATTTGGTTCCTTTAAGATATTCAACATAATTGGTTTGTAAGTAGTAGTTTGCATGTCCAGGATGACACGCCTATTTGTCTCATTGATGTAAAAATCAAGGTCAAATTCATTGGGGTGTTTCTGGGGGTCAAAGGACAAATGCAGTCAAAACAGAGAAAAACATCTAGTGAATGTAGAAAAATAATAATTTTTGAGGAAATATAAAATTTCTGTAATGTTTTGGAAGATATGAGGTTACTAATGAACAGAAAGAAATACTTCTTGAAATAAGTTGTATTTCAACATACCATTTGTTAATAATAGTGTAGGATAAAGAGTCATGAACTGCGTATTCCTTAACAAATAAACGACTGCATTTTTGTGTCGGGTGACTATGCAACAATACATCATTCTTTTATGCACATGTCAATTATTGGAGATTTAAAAAATTTACATCAGATAGCGGAACTTGAAACTTCCAAGTAAATAGATTTTTTTCACAAATATTCAAAAGTACACTGCATTTTTGACACCATGGACCATTAATTTAGTGCAAACACAGCTTGTTTATTTAAAAAGATTTAAACGGGTGGCATATCTGATATAATAATGTTAAATCATTTTCAAATTTAAACTGCATTTTAAAAAAAAGTAGGAGTTCTGTTTCTATTTTAAAAGCACTATCCTTTTACAAAAGTTCATTATCTGTATTCAAAAAGATCAATTTGAAGATTGTTTGTCATATGATCATAGTTATAGCAGCTGTAGGTGCTATTACATCTTACTTCACATGTTTCTTAGAATATTTTTTTGTAATTCTCCCTTCTCCCCCCAGAAAATCACTGACTCAGCAGTTTTGTGACAGCAGATTTGCCTGAAGTGCAGGAGGTTATGTGTTCTGTTCCTGGGCTGTTATTTTTCTTAGAGTAACACAAATTTTAAGACTGAATTCTAACCTGTTAAAGGGTGTGTTTGTGGGAGCTGAGTCACAACGAATAAAAACCAAAAAAACTGGAACTTGTTGTTTTTCTTTGTTTGTAAGTTTATTTTTTTGAGGTTCTGTTATAGATTGGTGGTTTGTTTGGTCAAATGTACTGTCTAGTATTTTTGGTAATTCCTGTTATCCATTTTACGGTTATTGCTGCTTTAGATGATCTTTGCAGTTTTTTGAGGTTCTTTCGTATTTGTTTGTTTTTAATTGGTTGAATATAAATGCATAGGCTTTTTAAAAGTCCATGCCCTAAAGTTGCCTTGGTGGGCTCCCTTTTTCAGAATCCTGGATCTGCATCGCAAAATGTAGTGTGACTCTCTTTTGCATAATGGGTCTTTAAGATTTCAAATTTCAATGTGGCTTAACACATACAACAGTAACTTCAGTGTTTGCAATTTGATTAAATATGGCAGAATTTTATCAGATAAATGTATATATAACAGTAAATACATTTTTTATTCAAAAATATTTTTATATTTTAGGACAATATTAATGTATTTCTCAATGCTTGTAAGAAAAACTTTGGACTGAAAGAGAATCAGCTGTTTGACCCCTGTGACCTTGAAGATTTATCCCAGAGAGCCATATCACAGTAAGTTAACAGTTGTAAGAAGAAACAACATGTGGAAAAAAAAATCACAAATAAAACTTCCACATGTAGATGCAATTTATATCTAAACGTTTTCATACATAACATAATCCAAGTTTTTCTGTGATTGTATTTGGATGGGATTGGAAAAGGATTCAACTCCTTTTATTATAAGACTGTCAGAGTAATTAGTTACTAGAGGTTTTGTTTATATTGAATCGATGCCTTGTTAACTGATTCATAAAAAAGATATAACTTACCAAATTATGCACAATTTATCAATATGTAATAAAGCAAAATAGTACAAATTGCATCAACCTAAGTTCTTAAAGTAGCATGAAAAGATAGATCTTTAATATCCAGTGGCAGTATTTAATGCATATTCAGAATGGGAAATGACCTGTGAACCCTGTTTGGTACTAGAATAGCATGCTGTACAGGATTTTCAACACTCTAGTTCACAAGGTAACTGTCTCAGAAAACCATATCGCACAAACTGGACTCTCTTAAGTTGACCATTTTGTTCAAACAACAAAAGATCACAAAATGCTGTGACACAATTTAATTTTTTTGAGTTATCCCCTATTAATTGAAACTATTAACTTCCTGCACTCAAGGTGAGAATGCTATCATGAGACACACAGGGCTGTTATTAGAAAATAAAAAACGTATGTTTACTTATAGATTAACAAACTATGTTAAATATAGTAAGTAAAACAATCCTGAGAATGTAATTCATTTCTTATACCTGTACTCTGGCATAGTTAAGTTCTGTGGCAGTTGAAATGCAATTTGGAATGACTTGAATTAAAAAAAAATTCTAGAATAATCTTACATGTAAAGACCTTCAGGATCTCACCTGGTGTTCTGATTGGCATTTTGACTATTAAGTAAATCATATAGACAGTATAGAACTTGCAAGTAAATTGACTGTTAAAACGACAATATTGACACTTTTTAGAACAACAGACTGATAACTACCCCATAGGAGGTCTCTCAGTTCTGCGTTATTATGACATAAAAGGTCATGTATTCTGTGTAGACAGAACTAGCGTGTGATTGGACCTACTAATTAAATCGTGAATAATGTCTACCTTGTCCTTGATTGGTCAATTGCTTAGGTCTCCCTTTATAGAAAAGTTTGAATCGTGACATTTCTATATTTGTAATACAAATTAAATTGAAATCGTTTGAAGTTTTTTTTCTAGAAGTTGTTTGAATGGGAAAAATGTGAGGTCCAGATAAAGGGCAAACATTTGTACTGCATATATTTTTTTATAGTTTTGGTAATTAATAGGAAATTTGGATACTTGAAAGATTAAATTTTTAAAGTATGGTTACTAGACAAAATTCAGGGCTGTTACTTAGTGTATATTTAGTCTCAGTAGTTGTGGTTTCCCTTTTGTAACCTCAGATTGAACTGTTGTGTAACTCTATGTCATTTCACATCAAGAATTAGTCCTAATCAGGTTGTCCACTAAGGTAGTTTGTATTCTTTAAATGGATTGGAGTGTTTGGTCAATGGCTTTGATAATTAGAGCATTAATAAGAGACTTTTGTGTTACATTTAAACTATTGTAGAATTTTTCTAAAGATTTGAATTACCTAATAACATGAATAATGATTATTGCAATGAATGGTAATTACATTTATAACAAGAACATTTCTGTAATCTATTACAGTGTATAATTTCAGCTTGAAGATGTTTTAATCATTTTACATATGTTACCCTAGCAAGAAAAATAAGTAACTGGGCTTGTAATGGTTAAGGAAGCTATACAAGGTAGGATAATGATGTACTGACTTACCAAGTGGTTAAATGTTTCAGATTTGCAAACTAAATTATCATTATCAGTCTAAAAATAATGATATAGTTTAATGTCACTTTTTCGGTGAGAAATTATATTGTTTTCTTTACGGGAAAACAACAAAAAAGGGGGAGGTATATGCTGAACATCTATAGATTTGCAACACAGTCTGCACCAAATAATATTTTTGCAAACTAGCTTGAAAACACAATTTACAGAACATTGTCTTTTGGGTTTAATTTTTGTAAATGTTTAGTAGTAAGTTTTACCAAATATTAACATGGGTGTAACGAGTCTCTGACAGATTTATTCCTGGCAGCCCTATAATTTTGTGTATAGGCACTGCAATGAAAATAAAAGATCAAACAACAGAAAAGGGGCATGATTGCAAAGTGGACATTGTACATTTATGTTTTGGAGATTGAAAGGAATGCATTTTATTTTGTTCAATTGTCTCAGCTGTGACAGAATGAGCAGAAGGACATAAGGGTACATATTGTATTTAAGGGGACAGCATCCACAGTGACAAATGTAGATGTTTATCATTAGAACCACTTTTATAAAGTTAAATGTTTGTTTAGAAAGAAAAATATTTGGCAAAACAGTCCTTCATTTAACAGTTATGTCCAGGAATGTCTTGTGGATATAGATATAAAATTGATATCTTTATGTTCATGTGTAAAATTTATTAGTATAATTTCATCAAGAATGTGTTGTCTTTTTATAAGATGCTGACTTATTTTACCCTGAGACTGATTCAATAAAGAACTAACAAATAGGGGATGTACTTATAAGGATGTGTCACTAATATTGAAAAAATAATGACCATATGATAACAGAAATTTTTCACCTTGCTTAACTTGGAAAACATATTGTATTAACCAGAAATCAACAGCTCTGTAATGGAACCAGTTAAATGTTTGAAATATGTCTATAAAAATGAGGAGATGTGATACACATGGTGAAATCCTATATGCGACTTTGGCAAGTTTGGCAGGAGACCTTGTGACCCGAGATGTCTCATTTTGAAGGACCTGTGACCTTTTAAAATTTTCATAACTGAGTGTTTTATTTAAATGTATTAAATACTTAAAAGTGACCTGGTGACTGTAGGAAATTTCAAATTTTGAATATGACCTTGTGACCTAAAGGGGAGGTTGTATTACCTTACTCATGCCACTGGAATCCTGTAAGTAATTGACAAACTAAATCACTGTGCCAGTCTTATGAATACAAAGGATTTGGGATTATGCATGAATGAGACAGCAAACCAATGACACAAAATGTGAAAAGACATCTACACTTCAAAACATGGCCTTCAATAATTGACATCATGAACATCTATAGGATGTCTCAGGCTCTCTATGTCCAAGAGTCTAGAATAGTTGTGAATAAATTTAACTATCAATTTTAATTAGCATATATATATCATTAATGGATTAACATAAGAGGCAGACAAAATGTGTATATGCAACAGACTCAAAGAAACAAATTCTACAAAACACTCACATGAAATACCTAATGTAGGCTGAGTTCTAATAAAGTACATTGCAAATAACAAATATCAGAACACCTTTAAGGATCTTTCAAGGAATGTGGAATTGCCAATCCCCAAATTTCAAACTACTTGAAAAATTACCACCAAGCTAATAAAGAACAAAGAGGTTGAATTAAAATTCCGATTATTTCAAGAAAGATAAAAGCTGAAACAGAAATGCAAACTAAATACAATTGTGACTTTGATGTTTGTGTAATAAGATGTTTTAAAATCAAGGAAGTTCTGATTACTTCTTTTATGATAGAGGGGCATCATACAGATATATATATAGTACTGTTACCATAATGATGTATGGTTTTAAGTGCAAGAACACTTTAAATAATGGAAATAAGTTAAAATATTAAAGGATACATTTACTAAATAAAAATTAAACACATTAAAAAAAAATTTGGAAAAAGGGGGGTCTATTCCCCTAGTGCCTGTGATTTTCTTTTCAATTTCTGTAAGAATGTGAAGATTTTATTTTCAAATTTTGTCCCATTTAAAATTGATTTATTTGACAAGTTTTTAAAAAGCTTCAGTCTGTTTGTCTCTAATGGTATGAATATAGTAGACTATGCTACTAGGATATTAACAATTAGCCCTAATAAATAAATGATAAAAATTCTCAGTTGTCAAAGGAATTTAAGATTTATATGCTAAGAATAAATAATTAATCTGACTTGCATTCTGAACTCCATGTGGTCTAGTTATTTTGATTGAGCTTGATAGAATACAAATTTGTATGATATATTGGATTATCTCCTGCATGTGATTTATAAAAAGATGTGAAATCAAACATGACAAAAATTTGTTTTCTGTTGACTTTAGATTGTGGAATTGAAGACAATTCTGCAATGATATATAACAAATCTATACTAATATAAGCTTTCTCTTGAGTCATTTTGAAGAAGATAAAGGAAAATATCTTTAGCACTAATAATCTCTGATACTGAGCTAATTAAGTCAGTATGGTGACTGTTATGCTGTTAAAATTACATCAAACTTTTATTTTTGTATGCATTTTATGTACCATTTTTCAGACAATTCTCAAACCAAAACCTTATGAAGTTGTTGCCAATCTAAATTTTTGTAGTGGGCTACTGATTTTGTGTCATGGATGGATACCGCATATCCTTTGTTTTTTTTATTATTTAGAATTTAATAGTCACGCCTGTGGGATTAGCCATTTTTTAGGTTGCCAATACAGTTTGCATGCATATCCTAAGAAAATCACGTTTTTATCATCTTTTGAAACTGTGTTAGTTAAACTTTGCAGTAATGATGATTTTAGGGTTCACTATAAATGATCCTCATTGGAATAACCTGGCAAAAAATGGCAGTCACTGATTCTGGTTGGCCAATTTAAAAAAAAATTATACCTCAGTGTTAGGTTCTGCATGTTATTAATACAAAAAGATTTTATTTCTATTTGAGTGCCTGAAAACTAAATTTGGTTGGGAAATATTTGATTATATATTGTTTTTAATGAAACTTTAAGTAAATGTTTGGCATTTTTAAGATATTTAAGCTACCAATGCATTATTTTCTTTTAAAACCTTACCAAAGAGTTGTAAGAGGGGATGTCGTCTCGAATTCCTGGAAAAAGAAACACTAAATCCTGAATTTCAGAAAAAGAAATAAAACATTCTTTCCCA